TGGGGAAATCAATAGATTTAAAGGACTTTTTAAGGCAATTAACGACTTTTGAATATGGACTGTAATTATATCATAGAAAATTTAAACTTTGATACAATACTGATTTGGTTAGCTGTACTGTGGTTATCTGAGCAAACCTCCTTGTTCCTAGGAAAATACTTGGAAATATTGAGGGCTAAAATGGTAGTGTCTGCGACTCACTCTAACTTGGTTCAGAAAAAAATGTGTGAGAGAGAGATAATGGGTAACAAAGCAAGTAGTGTAAAATGTAAATAATTGGTGGTATTTGCAAGTTTTCTCTAAGTTATATAAAGATAAAAATTTACCAAAAAATTCCTAAATTAAAATATTCTTTTCATATATCTGATTGTGATTGAAACAACTTGAAGGGGACAAAATATTATTCTTATCCTTTAGAGAAAGTGAAGTAAAGCAGCGAAGGAAATGCTGATCAAACAGAAGAATTCCAAATTGTTGAGATCCAGAGCAGAAGGACTTGATTGTTTTTTATCTGGAGTACTGTCAGGGTTTAGTAACCTTAAGCACCTCATATTCATTTCCTTAAACATTTATAAAATGGATATTTTAAGGATATCCTATATAACTAATAATTTTTCTTTAAAAAGGGTGCTTTGTAAAAACTCGATGGCCTTTGTTCTAGACAGGTACTTTTACAAATTTATTAAGAAAATTTGAAGGCCATTTTTGCAATTATTTATTAAAGGGGGATATTTTTGGGGGGATAGAAGTTCTTTATTAAATCTTTGAGCTGTATACAGTGAACATATGGTCATTTTAATAATTATTTTTACGTAATAAAGTCATTCTAAATTATATGTAATATTATATATAAGATATAATTTCTGTTATTAGACTGGTAACATTCATAAAAACTCACCTTGGTAATAATATTGATGAGCTGTTTAACAAAATTATCCTATAGGATTTTTGTAAAATATTATTCCTATTTTTTCCTTTTTAAAAACGATTTTCAATGCCACAACTAGATGGACCCACAACTAAAAGTATGCAACTGTCTACTAGGGGGGATTTGGGGAGGAAAAAAGCAAAAAAAAAAAAGATTTTCAGAGGCCGGCCCACTGGCGCAGCGGTTAAGTGCGTACCTTCTGCCCTGGCGGCCCGGGGTTCGCCAGTTCAGATCCCAGGTGCAGACATGGCACCATGTGGCAAGCCATGCTGTGGTGGGTGTCCCACATATAAAGTAGAGGAAGATGGGCACAGATGTTAGCTCAGGGTCAGTCTTCCTCAGAAAAAAGAGGAGGATTGGCAGATGTTAGCTCAGGGCTAATCTTCCTTGGCGGCGGAAAAAAAGATTTTCAGATTATATTGCTAAATCACCCCCTCAAAGAAACAGGTAACCTTAACACAAATAGATATATTACTGGTAATGCAGATATTGATAGAAATATTATTTATTGTAAAATTATTTGATTGAGATTCTAAAGACAGCAATAGAGCAATAGTGACAGTTTAACTTGTTTTGACTATTAAAATGCCAGGTATGAATGGACATAATCACTCTTTGGTGGTAACAAGAGTTCTGGAATAATGCTACTTACTTTGCAAATATTTGAGTGCTTGCTATGTGCAAAACTCTGTGCATTGTATAGTAAGAAGGATGAGGATGAATCAGATATGTTCTCTTTCCTCAAGTAGGCAGTTGAACACAAGATAGAAAATGTTAAGTGGCATGGGCAAAATATAGTTGAACTGGCAGGGGAGATAGATGAGGTGGCTTTTGAGCATTACTTTGAAGGAGAGGTAGGATTTGAGTATGGAAGAGATGGCAAAGGAAAACATTCCAGGTAGAGGGAACTACGTGGGTGAAGGGAAAGCGTATGTAGGACTACCAGTAGTATAACTTCATTTTGATGAGGGAAAAGGCAAAGAAGGGAACTAATATTTTGGGAAGGCATCTTTTCTGTGCCAATTCCTGTACCTTTGTTTCTTATTTAAACCTTACAACAACTTTTATGATCTAAGCGTTACTATTCCTTTTTTATAATGAAGAATTGAGATTCCAAAGTAAGTTGCCTAATTTCACACACTGTTGAAATGGGAATTTTAATTGAAGTTTATCTTAATATTATGCTCTCAGCTTTTATCAAGAGTTGATTAAGAAAACCCCACAACTTTGTGAACAATGGAATACCATCCGAGAGAATGAATGGATTATATCTGTGGGCAACAGTATGGATGAATCTCTTATACATAATGTTGAGTGAAAGAAAACAGACACAAAAGAGTACATATTGCAGGATTCTTTTTTATAAAGTTCAAGAATAGGCAAAACGGGCTGGCCGGTGGTGCAGTGGTTAAGTGCGCACGTTCCACTTCAGCAGGCCGTTGTTCGCCGGTTTGGATCCTCGGGTGCAGACATGGCACTGCTTGGCAAGCCATGCTGTGGCAGGCGTCCCACGTATAAAGTAGAGGAAGATGGGCATGGATGTTAGCTCAGGGCCAGGCTTCCTCAGCAAAAAGAGAAGGATTGTAAGCAGTTAGCTCAGGGCTAATCTTCCTCAAAAAAAAAAAAAGGCAAAACAGATTTATGATTTTAGAAGTTAAGATAGTCAAGATAGTGGTATCTTTGATGGGGGCAAAGGGGTAGTGACTGGAAGAAGAGTTTCTGAGGTGAGAGTAGTCTTCTTGCTTTGGGTGTTAGTTACATAAGTGTGTTTCTCTGTGAAAAGTAACTGGGCTGTACCTATGACTTGTGTGCTGCTTTCTACATAGATTATACTTCAATAAAATTTACAAAAAGAATTTTTGTATCTTTTGTAAATTTATTATGAAACACTCGGTTTAGTGTCTTTTTCGTAAAGATCCATATGATAAATTCCTCTTTCGGAGGTAGAAACAGATATGAACAAACAGTCTCCCTTTTATTTGCTAGGTCTACATAACTTGTTTCACGTTCCTTTGTGTCTTGCCTTAATTCTTAGAGCTAATTTTATGCCCAGTTGCACTTTTTTAGGGTGTTTTTTTTTTTTTTTTGAGGAAGATTAGCCCTGAGCTAACATCTGCTGCCAATCGTCCTCTTTTTGCTGAGGAAGACTGGCCCTGAGCTAACATCCATGCCCATCTTCCTCTACTTTACATGTGGGACGCCCACCACAGCATGGCATGCCAAGCGGTGCCATGTCCGCACCCGGGATCCGAACTGGCGGACCCTGGGCCGCTGAAGTGGAACGTGCACACTTAACCGCTGTGCCACCGGGCTGGCCTCTTTAGTCCTCTTTTTAAGTTGGATAAGTGAATGAGTGAATAACCTCAGTTTTTCCAAGTGTTGGTTTTTTCCTCTTAATTTTTCAAGTTTCTTAGTATAAAATTCTAAGCTAGTTTATGAAGGTAAATGGCAATTGAAGACATGGCTATTATTATCAACTCCTTGTTGAAAATATTTTCTTAGATTTATTTAGTACATTTTCATTTTCCACCTTCCATCTTAATACAGTGATGTGCAGCATACTGATGTTTCAGTCAATGACAGACCGCACATATGACGGTGGTCCCATGAGATTAGTACCGTATAGGCTAGATGTATAGCAGGCTGTACCATCTAGGTTTGTTTAAGTACACTCTGTGATGTTTGCACATTGACAAAATTGCCTAAGGACACATTTCTCAGAATATATCCTTGTTGTTAAGCAACAAATGTCTATAGTAATTAAGAAGCAATATGCACCTCTGTAATAACACGAGGAAAGCTTTTTAGTTTAAATTGTTTTTATATTCAGAAGTTAAGGTTGTTAGAATCCCACTTTTCAGATGCTGCATCTTCTATGAAGTAATTCCTCTCAACTCAGTGATCTCATTCCCTCGTAAGGACATAGCAGTTTGTCCTTAAAACATTTGCAGTGTTCCATCGTGTAGTTTTTTTATATTGCCTTCTCTGATTGTGAAAACCTAGGGGTTAGAGATTATGTCACTACTTTTCTGTATCCCACCTAATAGTGAGTAGTATTGTGATTCTACTGCACATGGTAGGTGCTCTCTAAGTATTTTATCTGAATTGTCTTATTAAATTAAAGGACTTCCCAAGTTCCTTGTTTCTAACTTTGTATACCATTTCATAGCTTAATTTTGCTTGTGTGATTTTCTCCATAAATCAGAGATCTTTAATATGCAGCGGAATATTCTCTTTGTGAGCATTTTCCATTTTGAAAGCTAAATCCCAGTTCTATAATTGTAGTTCTGTAATATTTACCCTTTTAGCAGCCATGTATTTTCTTTGGGGACAGGAAGAAATAGGCAAAATAAAAATACAAATTCCAAGCAAATAGATTTTTAACATTTTGCAGAACTACTGTTTGTTACAAGAAAATGAGTAGAATTTTCAATTTTAGTTCATATGAAAAGGGGGATACAGATATGATTGTGCCATTAAACATGGAGATGCTCTAGGTTATTTTAAATAAATTGCCTTGTGTTCCTATGTCTCTAGGCCCATTTTCTACCCTACTTTGATGACATGTCTGTTTCTTTCTGTTTTCCTCTTATAAAAATCCCTTCCAACCAATGCTAGGAATTGATCCTCCTTGACACAACTCCTCCTCTTCTGGGCCCCTTGAATACTACTAGTCTTAGGAGATGTGTGGAATGGGATTTGTGGGAGTTCTTCTCAACAAACAATGTCTTATCTGTTTGTCTCTTTCTCTATGTATATACAGTATTTTATATTTCAAAGATCCTGTAATTTACCTCTAGCCATTTGATTTTTATCTAGGGGGATTATTTGTTATGAATTAGAGGGGATCGTGATTCTATGTTAGTGTGTGGATCTAGTTGCTGTGGTGACTTGAGTGGTCATCTTCATTATATCGTAATACAGTCCTCTTTTCTGGGGGAAATGGATAACTTCCTTCTCCTTTTATTTTGTGTACCTGTATCTTGTTTGGAGTTACTGTATCAGTGTAATGTAGCAGTAATTGTGTTGCTAACAACAACTTTGTGAGATGTTTATTATTCTCATTTTACAGATGAGGAAACTGAGGCTTGGTGAAGTTACGAAACTTGTCCAAAGTCACACAGCTTGTAAAGGGCACAGCCAAGATTCAGAGCCAGGTCTGTCCAACTTCAAAACTCTTAATCATGGCCATGAAACTTTGAAATAGATGTGAAGTATCAACATATGATAAGTTGTATTGATATTAATGTTGCTTAACTGTTGTTTAACTCTTACTGATAATTTTTTTAATAGTGAGATTTTTGTCCATAATAATTTCATGTATCTTTTAAATATTGTGGAAAGCAGTGTAACATGGTAATTGAGGGTCTGGGCTCTGGAGACTAACTACCTGGGTATGAATCCCTAAGCTTCTCCACTTACTTGTGTGACATTGGGAAAGTTACTTAACTTTTCTGTACCTCAGTTTTCCAATCTGTAAAATGGTGATAGTAATATTATCCGCCTCATAGGCTTGTTGTGAAGATTGAATGATTTAATATGTCCAAAGCACTTATAACAGTGCCTGGCACACAGTAAGCATTCAATATTAAATATTAATATTATCATCTCCTAGTAACTAGTAAAACAGATGGTCGTTATTTCTAATTCTCTGTTAGGAAATTTGAACAAAGCAAAGTTTAAGCAGCAATATAAGATATCACAAAACATACATAATCAAAATTAAATTAGAATAAGTTAGACCTAAAGAAAATCATACATTTGATCTACTTGAGATCTGTTGTAAAGCAGACTGGGCAATTGCTTATAGGTCTCATGTGTTGAAGGGTATTTTATGTATAAGGACCACACATAGGTCCACTAGAGGTACCCTTTGGGCCCAGTGTGATCATTGTATTATGAATGTGTTTTGTCTGTTTTCCTTTTGTAAATGCAGTTTGTATTCAGAATAAATGTCTACATTTTTAGGTGTTTTTTTTTTTTTTTTCTGAAGAAGATTTGCACTGAGCTAACATCTGTTGCTAATCTTCTTCCTTTTTTGCTCGAAGAAGACTAGCCCTGAGCCTAACACCTGTAATAGTCTTCCTTTATTTTGTATGTGGATCACTGCCGTAGTATGGCTGACTAGTGGTGTAGGTCCGCATCTAAGATCTTTACCTGCAAACCTGGGCCGGCACCTTAGGTAGCTTTTAAGGAGGTGATGTTTTGGTAATCTTCACAGATAATTACCAAGAACCAAACCCTTATGTGTTATGTAAAATGTTGGCAACATTTCATCACTTACAGGAGCGGTTATCACAACTGACATTGTGATGAATATGTATACTCACTGATCGTTGAACCAATGGACCACAGCACATTCAGTTGAGAACTTAGCCAAGTACCGATCAAGTGCTCTTCACTCATACTTGTTCATTGCAGCTATCAGAATTCCAGAGTGCCATATCAACTATTACTACAATAATTAGTAACTAAGTTTATGCCAATTGCAAAAATATCCATAAGTGGGAGTAAATTGAGTCATTATGCAAAAAATCAAAAGCTATTATTAAAAAATGTGACTTGCCTTGTATATGAGCCCAAGATCCGTGTAGTTTTTAATCTATGCATACATTTAATTTATTCTCTATTTTTATGATATTGAATCTTCTATCCTTGGACGTGGTATATTTTTCTAGTTATTTAGATATTTAAAAATATCTTTCAGTAAGGCTTTTTCCTTTTTCTCCATAAAGATCTCTCAGGTCTTCTCTTAGATTTAATTATTATATACCTTATTTCTTGTTACTATTGTAAATAGTGTATTCTCCCCCCCCCCCCATTTTCTGTTTGCTGATAAAAGCTTTTTTTGGTATATAGATGTATGTTCAGTCATCATACATCATACTAAGTTGTTTTATTAAACTGTTGGAAATGCAGATTTTTTCCTCCTTTCCAATGCTTACATCTTTTCTTTTATTGCCTTTCTCTGCTAGTTAGGATTTCCAGTATTCAATACAAGTGCTAATAGTGAGCATTCTTATGTTTCACCTAATTTTTAAAAGGAAGTGCTGCTTGTATTTTGCCATTAAGAATAACGTTTGCTACGGATTTTTGATACTCTGTAGATGAAAGACATTTCTGTTGCAAGTTGGCTAAGATTTTGTGTTTGTGTGAAGAATAAGTATTGAATTTCATCAGATGCTTTTTCTGTATTTGTGAGATGATCATATGATTGTCCTCCCTTATTCTGTTAATGTGGTGAATGACCTTTATAGATTTACTAATGTTGAATTACCCTTGCATTGCAGGAATGAACCCAACTTAATCATGGTGGGCAGCTTTTATATACAGTGGATTTAATTTATTAATATTTCATTTAGGATTTTTGTATCTATGTTCATGGATGAAATTGGCCCATAATTTTTATTTCTTATATTGTCTTTATTTGACTTTGGTATTCTGATCATGCCAACCTCAAAGAATGAGTTGGGGACTAATCTTTTTTTTCCCACCTCTGAAAGAATTTATATGAGACTGGAATGATCTGTTTCTTGAAAGTTTGGTTAAACTTCTGTCTAGGCTTAGTATTTGAGGTGGGGGAGTGTGGGCTTAGTATTTTTAGGAGAGGTATGTATTCAGTTTTCTAAATGGTTTTATTTAGGATTTCTGTTTCTAGTTAGGTCAGTTTTTTGGAAGTTGTTTCCTTTTTTTAGCAACTGATCCATTTTGTCTGGATTTTTAATTTTTATTTTTTTGCCGAGGAAGATTCACTCTGAGCTAACATCCATTACCAGTCTCCTCTTTTTGCTTGAGGAAGACTCACCCTGAGTTAACATCTCTATCAGTCATCCTCTATTGTATGTGGGTTGCTGCCACAGCATGGCTGCTGACAAGTGGTGTAGGTCCACGCCTGGGAACCGACCTGAGGCTGTTGAAGCAGACATGCACCGAACTTAACCTCTAGGCCATGGAGCCAGCCCCATTGTCTGAATTTTTAAAGTATTTAGCATAAAGTTGTTCAAAGCATTGTTTTTTATTTTTTTAATTTCTTCTAAATATTTCTCTCCCTTTTTTATTTCCAGTTTTTTTGTGCCTTCTATCTTTTTTCCTTCACCAGTCTTGCTAGAGGTTTTATATGTGGAATATATATGTGAAATATATATATAATATATTTCCTTAGCCTTATCAAAAAACCAGTGCTTGACTTTGATTTTCTCCATTGTATGTTTTCTACTTCATTAATTTCTAGCCTTTCTCCTTTCTACATTTTTTAAGTGAAAAGCACAATTTAACATAAGGACACTGGGGTATATCTCAATTTCCAGGGACAGGATTTCATTAGGCCTTAAGAACAACTGGAACCAGGGGCTTACAATGCTACTAGTACCTTACTTCATCCTCTTTCCTTTATGGGTCTGTTTCCTTCTCTCTTGCTGTCAACTGGCTTTTCTGCTCTTCAGTCTACATGGCAAAAAATGGTGACAATGAGCCTCTGAATTTGATGTCAATTCCAACTTTGTGTGCTCTTGATTCCTCTAGGGATTTCAGATTTTTCCATCTGGGTCACTTTCTTTCTGAAGATATTTTTTCTTTAGTATTCTGTTTAATGATATTTTCTGTAGTAAACTGTTTTTTGTCTGAAAGTGTCTTTATCACCTCATTCTTGGTAGATATTTCATTAGGTATAAAATTATGGGTTGGCAGTTTTTTAGCCATTGGAAGAAATAATTCTACTCCCTTCTGGTTTCCATTGTTACTATTGATAAATCAGCTGCCTAATAGTTGTTCATGTGAGTGAATCTGTCTTTCTTATCTCTGGCTGCTTTTGCTCTTTCTTTCTTGGTTTTCTGAGGTTTCGTATGCTGTGCCTAAGAGTAGATTTCTTTTCGTTTATCCTGTGTGAGATTTTGGCCATGAACTGCTTGTTTTCCCTGGAAAAAATGTTTGTTGGTATTCTTTGAGGCCCAAGAAGGAAGTGCTTTGCTTCAAGAGGATTTAACTTTATTTTTTTTCCAAGATACCTCAAGGCACTACAGTTTGGCAACTAAATTCATCCCTTGAGGTTTTGGACCACCCAAATGGGGTGGATTTGGGTTGCAAATAGGTGTGTGGGCTTGCTGTCTTTACAGCCTCTTAGGAATCCTTGTTCTCTTCTGTAACAGGAAGACAAATTTTCTTGTCGTCCTTTAAGGATGAGATATAGGAATGGGTGGACTAGGTTTACTTCTGGTTCACTCTTTCTTTTCCTGAGGTTGAAACTTTATGGGAGTCCCAGCTTTACAGAGAAAGGGTCTCCTGTTAGATTTTTCCATGTTGGGTGGGTCTTGAACTTTGACTTCTCTTCTCTCCCAAGAAATCATCAAAGCTGAAGCTCAGCTTTTTGAGATAAGCACATATCTATAAGACTAAAACAGTTTCATTATGCCACTTATCTCTGAGTTTCTGCTTTCTCATAGATTTTGGTCTGGTTATTCCTTTAACATCTTGTCAGCTGTCTAATGCTTTTAATATTTTTTGAAATAAAATTGTATCCATCACTTTTAGTTGTTCTCAGTGAGAGAACTGGGTGAATAATCTAGCCTAAGGTGTTACTGGAAGTGGTATTTTATTCTAATTTATTTGGGTTTTCTTTTTCTGGTTCCTTCAGATAGAGGCCTAACTCACCAGTTACTAGCCTTGTTTAAAATATAAGCATTTAAAGCTATACATTTGTAAGTAGCTCATGAGGTTTGAAATGGAGTGTTTTCATTATTATTAGCTATATGTATTTAATTTTAATATGCTATTATGATTTTCAGTTATGTTTGCCTCTTTAAGTTATGACCTATGATCCACAAGTCAGAGTTTTGAAATATGTGGATTTTAAAAGATTTCCTTTTGTATATTTTACTTGCCTTTCAAAAAAACCAGGATTTTCCATTTGGGTTACAAAACAAGATTCAACTAGGTGCTCTATACAAGACACACAAAATGATTTAGAGAAACTAAAAATAAAGGGTTAGGTGAAGATATACAAGGCAAATGGAAACAAGACAGCAAGGGGTGCTCTGTGACCACTCTTTTCAGTGGCTTTTTCTTCCCTCCCTGATACCAAACTCTAATGAATAACCAATACTCCATATCATTGAGACTTTTTAAGGTTCCTGGAAGACTGATTTTGTGTTAATAACAGAAA